GCTCCCCCTACTTGTTTATTCCTGAAAGTCCCATACCTTTCTCTGGTCATTCGCTTAGTCTCTTCACACAAGAAAACTAGCTAAGTGTCTTGGGAAGTGGTGACAGTCACTGTTTTTGAACTTCATACCAGAAGAAAACGACCTTTCTTTCTTGTTAGCTTTTACATTAGAATTGGTGCGTAATCCAGTACACGTAGTACTGGAACACTGTGGGAGAGGAGCCAGCGAGATGCGAGAACAGTCAACTTAGTTTACTAATAATGCCTTAGTTTCTTTTCCTTTTTTAAAAAAATGTGTTTCTTTCCAAATGGGACCTCATGGCCCTTAGGTCTTGTCATTGGCCCTGAGCGATGGGTTTTGGTGGACACTGACCGGCTCCAGTTGTGGAAAAGTGAATCCTGGCGTACGGTAGGGTGGAGGGACCGCGGGTGATTGAGGGTGGCGGTGGGGTGGGACCAGGAGTGGAAGTCGTGCCCAGGGGGGAGCTGTTCTGACCAGCTGCTGTGGGGGTTAGCGGCTGCCTCCCACACGGCCGGCAGTGCGGTGACGTCCTCGACCCAGAGGCGTGAGCAGCATCCTGGGTGCATGTGTGTGCATGCCCACGAAAGAGAAAAAGAACAGAAGGGATTGTGGAACTACCGTCCCTATGGGAGGTGCTTGCCCACTGTCCTGCTCTCCGTCCAGTGAGCAAGTGTGCCCTCCAGCAAATCGGGACAAAATCAGGAGCGAGGCATCACAGGGAGGACCGACGGCCTGAGCAGGCACGCCCTGGAACGACTCTCGCGGCAGGAAGGCCAGCCTGGCACTGGCTCTCGTCGCCTGCCCGGCGCCTCAGCCATGGGCGGCCTAGACTCTGGCCTTCCTGGACGCTGCGAAGCTGTGCTCCCCTGCAGCTGTCCCAGCGCACGCGCTCCGTGCCCTGTCTGCGAACGCCCTTACTCGTCCACGGAACGCTTTCTGGAGAGCACAGCTGGGTCCGAAAGAACTGAACAGCTCTCCCCAGCCACTTCTTCGCTCTCTCTCTGGATACTACTGCTGTATCTGTAAGAGACAAAGAACGCACACAGCCATCTGCCCTCGTATGGGGGATCGCCGCCCCGAGGGAGCTGGTGGGAGAGGCAGCCGGGCCGCGCGTGAATCCCGGCTCCCTGTCGCACAGCCACACTCCCAGGTGCTCGTAATACCCTGGGTGGCTGGCTCTGTGTCCCCGTGGGTAATTCCTTCCATTTACTTATTTCCTCAGCAAATGTTTATGGAGTGCCGGTGCCGGGCTGGAGTTAAGAACCTGAATGTGAACACTTCAGACATTTGCGTCTCCGTCGCAGTCCTGCCGAGGAGCACCGAGGAACGAGGAACGCTGAGGTGCAGGAGGCACAGGAGAGCGCCCTAACTGAGCGCGTCCTTGGGGTGGTGATGCCCTGTGTGGAGACTTCAGGGCGGGTGGGGTTAGGGGGCCGGCTGTGAGGAAAAGGAGGGACGAAGGCGTGGCAGGGAGGAGGCTGGAAGTGACAGAGGGGGCCTGGTTGAAAAGTTGTGTGGGTAAGTACAGCGATGGGGCGGCGAGCAGTGAGCTAGAGAGCGGGTGGGCGCTGAGTACTCCAGGGCCTGACGAACGCTCCAAGATCTGAGATTTGTCCTGAGAGAGACAGAGTCCACGTAAAGGTTTCTGAGTGAGAAAGGCTCGTTCCGGCCACCACGCAGGGCAGGACCAAGCACTGGGCACCCTGTTACTGCAGTGGTCCAGACAGGAGACCCTGGCCTACAGGTGCAGCCATGACGCTGCGGGGAGATGGTGGCTCCAGTGCACAGCGCGCCGGTGGGACTGAGACCTGAGCCAGACAGGGCAGGTTGGGGTTTCATGGCCCACGCGAGAGGTGATCCATCCCTGAGCTCCAGGCCCAGGGGTGGGAAGCACAGCGGAGGGGCAGACGGCAAGGCGGCCCTGCTCAGGCTGGGTCTGAGGGCCCTGCCACACACCACATACCCAGGTCAATCAAAGCTGGAGTGTGGCGGGAGGGTCTGAAGGGCCGATGGGACTGATCCAGGGGCTTTAGGGGCTCAGTGGTGGGGACCCAGCTTCGCAGCGGACTGAGGAGTGGCTGTGAGGGAAGGAAGCAGATAGCTTGTAACCAACCTCCTGGAAGTTACTCAGGGAGGCAGGAGAGCGAGCTGGCCGCAGCCAAGGAGCACATGGGGTCGAGGAATGGCTTTGAAGATTCTGGGTCTGTTTAAATGTGCTTGGGACCGAGCATGAAGCTGAGTTCACAGAACAGAAACAGTCCCTGAGAAGCCTGGGGCCGACTCAGAGCCTCAGGGCCAGACGGGAGCTCTAGACAGGGACATGGTTCCTCTGTCATAAAGGGGGAAGCCGAGGGGGGAGACGTGGATGCCAGAGAAGGGGTCTGAGGAAGTCTCTTCTGGGATTTCTTCTTCCATGAATGCAAGACCGTCTACTAAGAACAAGAAGGCAGAAATGAGAGGAGAGTGGAGGGGGTGTGAACTGCTACCTTGCCTAGGGAAATGCAGGACCACGGGTTGTTGGCAGGTGTCATGGCAAAGGCGAATCTGAAGATTCACATTGGCTGTGGGCCCACCTGGACCACGGAGTGGACTCGCCCACGAGAGGGTCAGAGGGCGGGCAGATGGGGTCTTCCAGGCTCTGGCTTGTGACGTGCAAATGCAAGAACGACGGGGCACGGAGTCGTGGCATCCGTGTGGATGAACTGTGATTGGTGGCACCTAAGCTGGAGTTCTCGGGGGCTGAGAGAGGACGGAGGCTGCTGGGAGGTGCAGGGATGGGGGTGGGGGCGGCCAGGCCCGAGGTCTCAGCGCACTATCCCAGGACTGGAAAATCCCAGGGAGGACACGCCAGCCTGCAGGGCATGCGTGGCAGGAGTGGAGAGTGTAAACAGTCGGCACATGGAGGTCTGAACGGAGCGGACACGGTGCTGGTGGGACTGCCCCACACACGAGTCACCGTGATGCAGCCGCGTTCCAGGCCAAGAGTGGGACTGCGAGCAGGTGCCGAGCCTTTGTGGAAGGCAGTAGAGGAGACGGAGGGCGGCCTTGGGGACCAGGGCAGGGCCTCAGCCGGCAGGGCTCTGTGTCTGTGGGTGGACGGACAGTCGTGGACCCGGCAGGAAGCAGCATGGAACAGGAGGTGTCCGTACTGCAGGGCCCAGTCCGAGGGCCCCTCCGGAGTCCAAGCACCGAAGGAGGAGAGCGCGTGGGACAGCAGAGATGGGCCACGTGAGAGACGCAGGCCGCGGGGCTGAAGGGGTTTGGGAGGGACTAGAGGCCCGTGAGGGAATGCCAGGGTGAGGCCAACACGGTTCGAGGTTTCCATCCTGTCTGCCTGGAAGGCAGTGGGGAGCACTCGTGCTGCAGTGGAGGTCCGGGAGGGCCAGGCCCAGGGGCAGCAGCAGGTCTGGGAGGACCAGGCCCAGGGGCAACAGCGAGCACCTGTGAGACAGGGTGGGGGAGATGCCCTGGCTGGGAGGGAGACACTGTCGGGGGGTGTGGACGAGCTTTCCCAGAGGAGAACGGCAAAAGCAAAGACCAGACAGATGCAGGTTGGAGTCCGAGGGTCAGCATCTCATGAGCAGGTGGAGGGGGCAGGGGTGGAGGAAATGAGCATGACAAGTAGGAAGAGGCAAGACTACAAGCTTTGAGAGCCCGCGTGGACGCCGAGCCCAGAGACCCAGTGAGAGCCCGCAAGGACGCTGCCGAGCCCAGGGACCCAGTGAGAGCCCGCGTGGATGCCGCCGAGCCCAGGGACCTAGGGAGAGCCCGCGTGGACGCTGAGCCCAGGGACACAGGGAGAGCCCACGTGGACGCAGAGCCCAGGGCCCCAGTGAGAGCCCACGTGGATGCCACCGAGCCCACGCCGAGGCTCCTGCTGAGCCCGGGAAATTGGCACAGTCAGTGCCCCAGTGGGTAGTCGCCTGCTGAGATGATTATTAGGTGCATGTTCCGATCGCACGGTGATGGCCAATTTGCTGTGGGGGAGGCGTCTGGGCAGGGTAACTTAATTCGTCTAGGTGGGCAATTCCTGAGGGAAATGAGTCTGCAGCAGAAGCTCAGTTTGGAGGGATTATTGCCCAGAAAGAGAAACAGAAACTCTCTGAGGACATTATGACCGCGCTGAACCTGCACGAGTCGGATGTGAGGTTCTGACAGTGCAGAGGAGTAGGTTCATGTTCTCTGTGGACTGTCCGGAGGAGAAAACAGGACAAGGTTCTCATGGACATCAATAGAGCTTTATAACAATGCAACTCATTATCATTGTTTGGGTTAATGTTGTAATAATTACACACTTTTTACATTATGAAAATAAGTCATAAATAGTGTAAAAATAATTCTGAAGATCAACTTCTCACAAACTAGGAACCCTGAAAACATGTCGAAAAAGCAAATGAAAACAAATTAGAAACTGAACACAACGCAGTTTTCTCCAAACTGCAAATCAAAAACCTCATACAGCTTTCGACTTGGTGATGTCAGCTGAGGAAATCACAATGAAACCGAAATAAGAAAGCAAACAGGTAGAAGTCAGCCTGCCAGTTATTTACACACGGAGATGGACACGGTGCCGTACTCACGGTAGGACACGACACATCCGTACAATAATCAGTCACATGAGACTGGCCCACTAACAAAAAAAGCAGTGTAACCCTTGCCAAAAACAATTCTTTCTTGCATTTTCTTATTTTGTACTTATATGAGTTCTTGGCAATATAAAAATAGCTGCACAAAGAGATGAACTTTAAAATGTAAAAAAAAAATAAAAATAAAGCATTTCCTAAAGAAAAATCAGATACATACATCTTTTAAAAATGTTATCGAGTTGAATGAAACATTTACAACAGTATAAAGAATATTCACATAATGTCAACAAGATGTAAGACATTGTTCTGTGAACCCATTCCATAATATTTCTGAGATATGTGAAAATATCAACTGCATTTTGGGAAGTGTTACTTTCTCTGTTAAGCTATCAGTAAATGAAACACAGAGGTCAGGCTTGAAAAGTTCCCACTTCCAAAAGGACAGTTCTGTCAACAAGCAGCATAGGCAGTTCCATGCATTCCATTTCCAAAACGAAGAATAGCCTTGAAAATGTCTATTAGTATTGGATTAGCAGAAATAAAGTCCATTGAAAATTTAAGTTGCAGGAGTGTCCGCTGTGGCAACACCAACAGATTCAGCCACTACGAGGCCAATTCAAGAAAAACAGGAAGAAGTTGATACCACAGGTCTTTACACTGGAAAATGATTCAGCCGAGTCATCGTGGTCAACCATGTTAACGCCACTGGGCACAGGCAATTTTACCAGGAAGAATCAAATGTGATTGCTCCAACTTATTATTTCTGCAAAGAGAAGCTTCCTAGGAACTGGACTTCTCAGAGACTGGACAGTGTGTTTGTATGAATTAAGTTCTGGTTTTGGTAGAGTGAAATGTTAATAATTGGATTATCAAGAAATAAAGAAAAACAAGGTTTCAAAAATACCAGCATCTCTATGTTCCTACGGTCGCTTACTGGATACTGCAATAGCACACAGTATAGCCTGATTCTGGGTAAGACAATATATAGTGGGAGAAAAGATACACAGTGCTGCTAACTTACCACACTTCAATAGCAACATTAACAAAACTTGGAAATTAAGCACATTTCCTAAATGATGAAAATACAAGCTACTTAAGGCAATCTTTCCATATGTCTGGACATGCGGATGGAACCGTTTCCCGAACTAGCCGGCAAGAGACACGCGTGCAGAGGGCAGGTGTGTAAACCGCTTTACTCACAAGGTCTTGGTCACTCCAGAGCATCATATGCATAGACTACAGCTCGAAACCGAGACCTTTCACTGGCAGAGTTTAAATGTGCTTTAATGTTTTCTATAAAACCACATGAGAAAAAAAAATCCTCCAAGATGGCTTTTGATAACAAAAAATGAAAACTGGAAGAAAAATGTGGGGTTACTTGTGCACCAGGTGCTCTGGTGGTGTGTGCAAGCCTCTCTAACACTGATTTTGTCAGTGCCATCAGAGGCTGAAAGACGAGTAAATGAAAAACACAAGGTGAGGGAGAGCTGGCAAACACGTGATGCAGGAGAAGAACATGGCACGAGCAGATCCGATCCCAGGCAAACGTGTCGCCTCTGGGCAGGGCTAGCTACGCTACGCTCAGGCCCCACCGCCTCCCATGGCGCCCCAACCTCTCCTCAGTTCCACTCTCCTGTTTCACAGCAAAAGTGTGGGCCAGGGAACCGTAACCGCAGCCAAATCATGAACCCTAAGTAAAACCACGCACTAACACTTCAGGAATGCAATTAAACAGAGAGGAAATTACCATAGTCAAGTTGCATTGTCCATAAAGAGAAAAGGAAAGAAACACATCGGCACCAACCGACACAAATGGAGAACAACTTTCAAGCTAAAACGTACACCCATCTGGCATTTTTTAAAGAGAGAAAGATCAGAAATCAACCTGACCATGACTTATTTCCCATGTGCCTTCCATTTTTTTCTCAATCCTCTATGTAATATAAAAGAAAAAAATCTTTAAGAAAAATACGCTATTTACCAACATACAAACATAACTGATTTGGAAACTATTTGACAATTCTCTAAAATGGCGACAAAATGGTATTCAGAAACATCACTGCATCAGGGAGGTGAAGACCCGCGATTCTGCTGAGCGAGGCGGGGGGCCAGCATTCCTTCATTTTTCTTCCCAAAATCAAGGTAAGGAAAGTTTACAACTCCCTTTAATTATGGAATAAGTCGGTGCTGTCACGCCAGTAACAGAGCGAGAAGCCAGCGCGCACAGAGCGGCACTCTTCAAAGGGCCACGCCCACTTCATATAGATTTCTCTTTTTTCCTGTGGAGGTATTCTCTTCCGAAGCTGTGCATGTTGTAAAAGTGATGCATCTCAAGATCTTTGTTCTGGAGTAGGAGGAAGATATAGAGCCCCTGGACCCCTGACAAGACACTATCGTTGGTTTTCGCTTTCCTGAAGGGAATGACATTTCCTGTACTTCGGTTCATTTTTCCAAACCACTGAAGACAAATCTGACATTGCGCAGTACCTCATCCTAACCAAGCCACATAAGAAATCGTTAGAGAATGCACTGCACTGTTAAAAATACTGAATTGGCTCAGGGATGTGGAACGATACGAGGGATGTTACCATTCGGACCGATGCAGTGATTCTACCACCTTTCCAACTGCAAAAATTTAGCAGGAAAACAAAGACTGCGTCTTGGACAGCGGAGCATTGGGTTAACGTGGAAAGGTTTATAAGGGCCTTAAGATCCTTGTCTTACTATGTCTTAACCATTGTCACCGTAAGCCAACAGCGAGTTCGTTTCCCCTGGAGTAGTAAAACCTATGTCTGAAACTCGGTGTTTTCCTGCAAAATGGCATTGAGTAAGGAGGAATATTAGATGCCCAGTGAAGAAGGACTGCTCTTTATCGATAAGTTTCTCCTAATGTACCCCTTCCACTTAGAGCAAGATGATTCAAAACAAGTAGCCAGCTACCAGGCCGAGAGGCACAGTCTGCCACGGCGAGGTGGCCTTGGAGCCGGAAATAAAAGCCCCCGTGGCAGCGACAGCTCACGGCCCTCTGCCATCTCAGATCTGGCCTGCGCATAGGAGGGTAAGACAAACACGCAGAAATTCTAAAAAAGAGACAGAAATCTAAGTAGAGACAAAACCTAGAACCATAAGAATTAGAAATGAGCTAATACTGCCACGTGTGACAAAATCTTGGCTTCATAGCAACTGATCATCTCTACGTATGTTACATTCATCATGAAAAGTCAAAAGGTACTGAAGACAATGCATAGCTTTCATGCTTTAGAGCAATTAAAACGAAAGCGGAACTCTCTCGTACCCTCTGCAGCTCTCCAAACCGGGAGAGGTTAGTAAAAGGTAACTGACTGTGGCGCCCAATTGTTATGACAGAAGGCTTAAAAAGTTAAATTAAAAGGAGATGCGAGACAGACAGCACATCTTTACATATTCCTGGCACTGAAAACAGAGAGAGAATATGAAAAAGAATGGAAAATATCTGTCCCTGGAGCTGTGTAGCGGTGCTGGCCGTGGGTCGGGGCTTCCAAGGAAGGGAGGCCCTCACTGCAGTTCAGGGGGGACTGTACCGGTGAGCCCCCGTCTTCTGGGGAGGTTATCTTGGCTGCCTCCTTCCTCAGCAACCTGAGCGTTGGTGGGACGTACACACCGCGTCCTCGGAAACAGGCTGCCCTTCCCGGAACTGCCTACCCCAGAAGGGTGCCGCCGTACGCCTGTCACGTTCCGAAAACACCATGCCAGCACTTGCTGGGATTCAGTTCACCGAAAAGAGTCTGCTGTCCTGGGTGTCTGCGTTTGTAAACCCCTTTCCTGCTTGGTCACGGCAGAGACAGCACAGGGTACCGAGTGGGTCCTCCTCCCGCGTCTTCACTGCCAAGGGCAGCCCACGGAAAACTGGAGGCAGCATCAGCCCTCGGTGCGTCAGCCAAGGTGGCCACGCGAGCCACAGCCCCAGAAGCTGTAGGCCGGCAGCTCCTCAAACATGGACCAGCTGTGTCCTCCACCACCTCATCACTTTTTGGCAATGAGCCATGGCGTAACCCCCTTGAGGTGACAAAAGGAACAGAAGCCCAGCTGTAACTGAAGGCCTCGGCGAGTGGCAGGCGGCATCTGAGGGCCGGGCGCGCAGGCTGGCAGGCAGACATGCTGTTTAGTCGGTTTCGAGGGGAGGTGCGCTCACAGGGAAGGGGAGCGGGCTGGGGACGCTAAGCTCTACAATCAGTTAGTACCGTCCGTTTTCCAAACTGTCCGTATTTGGTTACAACGTCATGTAAACGATTTCATGGCACTTTCCTGTCCATGCAATTAACGAACCAAAAGTAAGAAAATAACAGGGACGGTCACTCTTTATCACAGGTATGTCCATATAAACACTATCTTTGTGTGAGATAAAGAGATCCTGGCCTCTATTTTTGGTAGGCTTCTCACTGGTGTCACAACACGCTCAGTTTCAGATGTAAGTGGAGCAAGGGTGACACGTGAACTACCATGAACAGGAAGAAGCGCTCTATGTAAACATATCTGAGACTTGCAAAATCCGCAACTCAGTTTCCAACTATAAATATAAAAAGTGGACCGTTATATACACAGCTTCATGCTCGGAGAGTTAGATTCATCACTGCAGGAAACAGACAACGGGAAAGACAAACACAGCATTAGCAATCTGGGTAAGAATCCCAAATGAACACTGATCTTAGGAAAGCTGGCAGAACCGCGAACAGTCTGATCACTGAGCTAGCTGAGCCCGACATGCCACTTCTTGGAACTCCCGGATGGCATGGCCGGCCATTCCATCTCATCATCCTATGGTCAACATTATTCCTTTGCCACTGAAAGTTCTGTGGCGTTTGTCTCAGTAATTGTTCCGAGAAAGCAGAAAACTAGGGTTTTCTTACCGACGCGCCATGCTTAAATGCTGTGTTACCGTTACTTCCACACCCTCCGAGCACGCTACACGGCCATGTGGAAGGGGAAGAGCTGACCTGAGCAGGGCTGTGGTCACTGACGCCTGGTCCGTGTGCCTTAGGCCCTTCGGTTCCAGGCTCTCTCCCTGCTGGCCCTGCCCTGCGGTGAACCGGGAGCAGGCCCGACCTGCCCACAGGACTTATGCTTCACTCAGGCTCCACTGACTCCCACGGCGCCCCAACCTGCCCTTGGTTCCGAACAGCTGAGGTTGCTCAGGGGTGCTGAGAGCACGGAGGAGCAGGGGCTTTGGGGAGAGAGCTGACAGCAGACATAGAGACCTCCTTGACAGTCACTCAAGGACCGCAGTGCGAAGCGTGGGCGGTACCAAGGAGGAATGGTGGCGGTCTCTTCGTCTACCCTCCACAATGCTGACGAATCCAGAGACATTTGCAATTTGTGTTTTTCTTTCCAAGAAAAATGGATCCTCGCCTAGGTGAGCCTAGGAGGCCGTCCCTTCCCGCCTGAGACTGCTCCCTGCGTCTGTGCGTGTCATGGCAATGCTGCAGCATGCCCAGAGGGGCTGGCTTCTCTAAACCCTCACCTGTCTCTACTTCCCATTCTGTGACGGGTGTTCTGTAAGTAATCTACGTGACTGCCAACATTTCGGTTTTTCTCATATTGAATAAAATTCATTAAAAGCCTGTTATTTCGCTTTGAAGGTTCTGAAGCAAACCTGTCTGCCCCGTGTGGAAAAATTCAGTTCAGTGAAATGTTGAAAAGATGAAGGTACAGGGCCAGCAGGTGGCATAGTGGTTAAGGTGCTGGACTCCCATGTGGTTGACTGCAGTTCAGTCCTGGACCTGGCGGCTTGAAACTCACGCTGGGTGCGTGTGTGCGTGTGCCCAAATCCTAAGAGGAGAATGGAGGTGAAGGGGTTGTGACGTGGCCATCCCCTTGGGGAGTGATTTCTTACTTTCTCTATCTCTCTCTCTGTGTCTTCAGCAAGCACACATGCCCTATAGCAAAAATCTCTCAAAATAATTTTTTAAAAATTTGACCATTGGAGATAGCTAAGTTCACCACATAAGAAATCTGAGAACATCTCGCTTTTCTAGTTGTTTTCTTTCCTTTTGGAAGGCATTGTAGGAGAGGCAGACCAGAATACTTTGCATTCGTGGGGGCTGGCGATGGTGGCAGCACTGAGGATCCACCCGAGTCATATAAAGAGATGCTGGATCCGTGAGATCCCTAACTCTGTGTAGAGTGGGGCCATCCGTGGGAAACGGGCTTCAGAGGGGGATTTCTGGAGGGGCGATGGTGGCGCTCTGTGTGGCTGGCCCTGGGTTCGTGCCCCGAGGTCTGTACATGCACAGCACACAGGTGCACCTGTGGTCCCGGTTGGCCAATGCCTGGGGTGGACTGAAGTATGAGGACCCTGTGGGGTGCCCCCTCCATAAAAAAACTAAAAAAAGAGGGATGTCTGATCGTTTTATCTCGTATGACTATGGGTTTGGCCTTCCACGAACCACATACAAGACTGCAGCTGCCCTTGTCATCTCCGAAAGGAGAGAGACACAGAGGGGCTGGAAACAACAGTTGGTGACGCTCTGGTGGCATGGGAGGCAGGGCGCGGCAAGCTGTCTACAGCACCTCCGTGTAAATAATAAAGAGTGCTAAGAATCGTCACAGATTAGGTTGCAGGGCAAAGGTTAGAGGACGTAATTCCAGCCCAGGGGGCATTAAGGATTCCGTGATGGGGCTGTCATGGCGAAGGGACAGTTTCCGAGGAGCCGGAGAGTGCGACGATTGGCCCGGTTTCACGGGACCCCCCTGACCTCAGACATGATTGAGCTGGTGATCTGACAGGTGGAAAGTGGAGCCGGGGTGCTCTTAAATTAATGATGCTGCTGAGAGGGAGAGGGAAGATTTTCTTTCCCCGGCCAAGTAGGTGAAACTCAGCAAGAAGGAGCAACGGGGCAGCTGGGCACGGCAGTCACGGTGGCTGAATCCCACACGACTGACAGTGGTTTGAGACTCAGACCCCGAGGTTTGAAAAATGCATGTGCACACTGCTCAAAACCCTGAGAGGAGACAGGCGAGGGCCGTGGTGTGGCCATCCATCCTGGGGGTGATTGCTCATCTTCCCTGCCCTTCAGCCAAAAAAAGGAAAGAAAAAACAAAGACAGAGTGTCGCACAGGGTGTCCTCCCCGACAGAGGTGCTGTGCTGAGAGCCTGGGTGGCCTTCCTCCTCATTTTCTTGCAATCCCACATAGAGGGTTTTTCTTTCTTCTTTCTTTCCTTCTTCTTTTTTTTTTTTTTTGAGAGGTTTTTGCTATAGAGCACATGCACTCGCCAGAAAGATAGAGAGAGACAGAGAGACAGAAAGCGAGAAATTACCCTCCAGGGGGGATGGCCATGCTGCAATCCCTTCTCCTCCATTCTCCTCTTGGGATCTTGGGCATGCACGGACATGCGCCAGGCATGAGTGTAAGCCACCGGACCCGGGACTCAAACTGTGGTCGACTACATGGGCGTCCAGCGACATCACTGTTATGCCAAGTGCTGGTCCCTTTCTTTCTTTTTAACAGTAGAGAGTACTTGCATGCACAGGAGTGTGGGGCAGGGGCAGAGGAAGAGAGAGGGGCCCTGGACAGGGTCCTGCCACACGGTGATCCCTTCCCTGCCCTCCAGCTCCTCAGAATCCCATGTGCTCCCAGAGCGTTCTCTAGCCGACCTGGGGACTCTGAGCCCATGGCCACCCTTATGGTTTCCAGCCTTGCAGGCACTTGCCTTACCATGGCACCAAAGCGGCTGTGCTAATTCTACACAATTTTGTGGTTTTGTCAGGGAAGCAGGTCTGTCCAAAATTACTGAACAAGCCACAGGGTGTTGGAGATGTTTCAAAACAATCAAAGCAGCATGAACTTCCTCTAGCTCGTTTTGATGTCTGTGCACATCCTCTGTCTTCTGGGAGCATGCATACAGTCCTTCGCAGTTAAAGGACTGCTCCTGCTTAGTGCTGCGATTCCACGAACCCGGGGCTCCGTCAGCACGCTTCTCTGCTCTAAGCGCTGCTGCAGCTTCCTACCCATCATCTCTCCTGGTTCTGTTACGTATTAGCTCTGGGACTGGAAAGGTCTGGAACCTCTCTGAATGTCAGTTTCCTCACCTGCAGCACTGGGGACAGTATCTTACAAGGTTATTGTATTAGATGGAGTAATGGTCCCTGCCCAAAGGGGTCCTTCTCTCATAGCCTTGAACACAGGAGGTTCTATGGAGTGCATAAGTCACGCTCATCTGATCGGTAAACGCTGGGTACATGTTTTGTAAAAACTACACTGTACTCACAAATACATGTAACTATGATCGGTAAACTAGAAATGCAACAAAAGTATTATTTAAAAAAGGTAAGTTTCTTTCCTTATTGAACACACACAGTGACTATAGGTGGCCCTAGGAAGAGGCCAGAATAAATGAATATTATGAAAGACCTCAACCAAAAAAATAAAAATAAAAGAGAAACTCAATCAGATTCTCCTAAGTTGAGACATCATTGGAAAAAATGGCGCATATGTTTTCTGCTTTCTCAGTGTCATGACTAACATTGACAGGGTTCTACCAGCTGTTAGTGTATTGATTTAGGTAATTAAGTACAATGAGAAGAACGATTACAATTAAGATGGTTTGAAACAGTGGGAGGACAAAGAGTTTATTGAGAGGCAGGCAGGCTGTTATCAAGACGCACTGTCCCTATCTCATCAACAGGATGAGAGAGAGAAGAGTCCAAACTACTCTGCTGGCTCAGAACTGTTTTTCACTCCCTCGCTTAGAAAGAAATTAGCGGTATATCTATTCACAAAGAGAGATTCTGGAGTGGGGACCTTTTGTTTTTAAATACCCAGATATCTTCTAAAAATGTCAAATTCAAGAAATCTACTCTCAATGGAAAAGACTAGGCGAGACCAAGAGAAAGGGACAGTGCTTCTCTTTAGAAATAACTGTGTACAGCCTACCTTTTGCCAACAGCCAGGCATGGGCAATCCATCGGGCCCCTGTTTCAAAGAGAAGCAAAAGAATTACTCAGACCCCATCTATGATCAGACTTCATAATTCACATGAACAGAGGCTTAAAAACCAGATTTTTACCCATTAGTTAGCTTTGCTCATAGGCATCTGTTACTAACTAGCAACTGCTAATATATTACCCTATGTTAATTAAAAATGAAGAAAATTCAAATGTTTTCCAGAATGAGTATAGACTATAAAAAAGCATAAAGTATAGGAAAGGCTATGCCTTTAAAAAGGAATTTACAAAGCATCATGGTCTCCTGCCAGTTATGCCTATAGACAACAAATTTGTCCTGTGCATCTGAATTGCATTAAAACACATATCACGATGACCTTTGTTAAAGAAACCAAAATAATTTCTCTTCCTGGTCACTATAAACGATGGCTAAATGCATGATAATGATCAATAACCAATGATGAACCATTTCTATCTGAAGTTTATAGCTCTTCACAGGCCAGAGTTTTTTAGCCTTCCATATTGAAAGTAGATATAGTAGAAGAAAATTAGTTGAGCTGAAAGACTGGAAGCCTGTCTACACTTTTACATCAAAGTTATCCACAGCATTCACTGGCTTTCCTATTACATCCTTCAGAAGTCAGTTAATACATTCTGAATGAAATAAGTTCCTAAATGCTGCAGAAATCTACTTTAATCAAAATGTAAGCATTCTTCAGATACAAATGGTATGAACCAGGCAGGAAGAGTTGGTGTGTCATAAAGGCATGCTCTGTCCTCCCCCCGAAATCATTATAAAATGTGATTGTCACCCAAGTCAGGCAAACAACATAGAAGGCTGGCACTTCATACTGAGGCCTTCCGATTACAATTACCGACAGAACACATTTTCTTCTATAAAGACTTTAAAGCCATGCTCATAACCGAAGAACAATGTAAGCACACGCGGACCAAGTGTAACCACCGACATAGCCTAAACCTTCCCTTCACACCTTGGGGAATATGGAATATTGAATATGAAAAGGAATACCCTTTCTTTCAAATGGTAATCATAGAAACAAAACTTTGAAATAGCTTTATAAAATATTTGGGAAAAAATTGAGAATGCCAGATTGGTACAAGGAGAAGGATCAACCAGAAGACTTTTAGATTTTAGTATGAGGAGGAATTTGAGCTCATGCCAATGGAGATAAGGAAGTGTGTCTATTTAGGAAAGTGAGTTTCCAAAGGAGAGACCATTAAATTGGAGTGGTTACGTGACAGAGCGGAGGGTTTGGGCTGCAGAGTAAGGTCATCTCAGAAGCTCAGAGAACTCGCTTTTCTTCTCTCTGGTCTCTTAAAATCATCCCTTGAAATGGTTAACTCTTGAGCACAGGAGCTTCATTCTGTAACTTTGGCCATTTACAGCCTGACAGAAATGTAGCGAGAGAGACAACAATCCCTTTATTTCTTTTAAAGGAAAAGGAAAGTAGTTACCATAGGGGGAGACCCCAAAGTTACGGCCTAGCAGTGCCCTTGCACCGAACAGCTGTACACCACCCGAGCATTCTTTAGCTCTTCCTGGAGTCAGCGAACATGCCAAGAAGTCCGGGCTGGGCCGTCAGCCGTGCAGGTCCCACAGGTTAGTTGCACCAGGGCAGGTGCGTGCTGCCCGCCCCACTCCGGGGAGAGCGGCGAGGGGCCGTGCATGCACATGCATGTGGTGTCCATCTGTGAAGCTCGCTCTGAGAGCAGTTTACACGGATGCAGACGAGCATGTAGGACGCACAGGTGCTCATGCAGGTGCAGGAGAGAGGAATACTGTACCAATTGGCAAGGGGCGTCCAGCCCGTCCAGGCCAGGTTGGCCCGGCTCCCCTTTTTCCCCCTTAACGCCACGGAATCCCTGTTTGTAAAGATTAACTCATAACGTTACCAGCACAAGAACTCGCTTCAGCACAGACTGCATAGAAATAAACACAGCGAAGGCTGGGGGAGGAGCAGCTCTGAGGGGACAGGTCACAGGTGAGCAGTGAGGCCGGACACGGGGACCCGGTGCTGGCATGACTGCCACGGTGGCGGGGGTGCTGGACACGCCGGCTCCCCTGTGGGCATGGAGTAGCACAGGTCCCTCTGTAGGTCCTGAGTTTTGGTTCCATCCACACCGTGATACTTCAGGCGTGAGCTGGCCCGGGAGAAGGGTGGGCGTATCGGCATAGCCAGAGACAGACATTTCTGGGGTCTTGCGCTCACTGTAGAAAGTCCGACCAGAAAGCTGCAGTCCCGTCCCTGCAGGCTGCTCCTCTCCCAGCTCCCCCCCCAAGATGTCTGGACACAGTTCCCGGCAGACATACCAACGGGCAGGGCGCATCTAATCCCGGAGCGCCCTGTTCTCCTTTCTCCCCTTTAGGCCCCTTTTTGCCTTTCTTTCCCTTTTCCCCCTGTGGATACAAGGGTTTAAATGAAAGACAGGTTTTATTTGGGGGGGAAACAATGGTGATTGGGAAGATGGTTTAGCTAGGAAAAGTCTGGAAGGGCATTTACCACTGTGGTCTGGTTAGATAAGGCATGCCAGTCTACAAAACCACCCGGACTTGCAGGGTGACCGTGGGTTCCTGGCAGCACCGTGCTGAGCAGAGGAGAGGGGGAGGCCTGAGCGTGGCCCGTCAGACAGGAAGCTCGGTGCTGGCTCAGACCGCAGTGCATGGGGAGCCGGGCGTCTGCGCTGGCTCTTACAGGTAAGGGGGACAGGCACCCACTCTCCGGAGCCAGCGACTGTACAAAGCCAGACAGCGGCAGGTGAGGTTGGGGGGACGACAGATAACGTCACCCGGTTTTCGATTCCTCAACATGCTCTCCCTCTGATCCTGTGATAAATGAAAGCTACATTGAATCAAAGGAAGGGGAAAAACGTATTAACGGCATCTGTCCTTTAGAGATACATCCAGTTTTATATTATTTTTAATGTAGCTTTCATTTTAAAATTTTCAAAGTATTCGAACATGCTTCTCTCTTTTTTCTAACATTCTTTTTTTGGCAGCTAAAAGTGGACCATTTCCACATGAAGTTGGCACACAGATGTCCCGAGGGTGGCAGTGCCGACCAGAGAGACTTCTCGATAAACCAGGGGGTCTTTGGCTCACCCCCGTAATGACCCCGTGCCGGTACCACAATGGTAAGTGAGTTTCCAGCTTACTCACAATGTAGCAAAGGCCGAAAAGAAGGAGAAAAAGATCTGATCAGAGAGGGAAGCGTTTGGACTTGTAAAGGTGAGGGGGGCAAGGCAATGAAAGTGGGGTGCAGCCACGGAGATTAGTACTGAGGAGTCAGGTGGGCTGTGGGGCTGCGTGGCCCAGGGACGGGGGGAGGAAAGGAGGCAAGGCGGGGAGGCAGGAAGGCACCCAGCTGCTCGGACGCCGCTGCCCTGCACACCCGTCTCACAGGAGCTGTGGCCTGCAAACACGGCACTAGACACTCTCCCATTCTGCAGTCACGGAATAACGCATGAGGCCAAGCAGTGCGGATATTCACGGGGAAGGACAGACGGGAGCTCCAGGAGGAATGCATTCAGACCGGTCCCTTCGCTCCGGCAGCGGGGATGGGCCCGCCTCCTGTCTCCCGTGTGCCAAAAACACTGCAGCAAGGGCCCGGGACGCTAGGAGAGTCCTGTGTGGCTTCGACCGCCATCCCAGACGAACACCTGAGAAGCCTGGTGACCTGAGGGCAGGCGTGGGCGGAGCGGGATGGCGGGCCACGGGAGGCGCTGGCTCTCGCCAGAACAGCAGTGCCCGGACGTGGTCAGACGTGTGGGGCGCCGGCCTCTGAGAAGGCAGCGGTGTGCCTCGGACCAGGTGTGGTGGGCATTACGGACAGGCTAATCGGTAGCGGTGTAATGGCTACTGATCAGTATTCATACGCCGACTCATTAACCATCCCCTGGAAACCATGACTGCCACCGTGCCGGGCTGTGCAGCGTTTCCCAGGCATGTTTTAATGGGTCAGGCTTTATGGGACGGTGCTGCCAACCAGTGCTGTCGTGGGACACAGGGGGACCCCCAGCCACGCACGGCCGCCGTCGGGCGTGAGCAGGAAGGGTGCTGCCAACCCTGTGTCCCACGGCAAAGACGACACGCGTGAAGGGTTTAGTTAGAATCCAGTTTTCCTAAACACGAAACCCTGACCGTGGAATCTGCGTATAGAAATGCTTTTGGACCAGTGAGTGACAGTGCTCTAAGAATCACGTCGGCAACGGCAGGCTTCATGAGCTACGTTCCCGATCACTTCTTCCTTGATTAAGAAATGATAAGAACGAGCACCCTCATTACGGCGACATACTTCTGAGTAAGAGTTTCAACTTGTACAACCCACTGGTTGTAGCTGTAAGTATGAAACAGAGACACGGAGTCTTTAAAACACTCAACATGGGTTGAGGGCTTGCGTGCACTATTTGTTTTGGTTTGTTTTAAAATAATTCATTTTCTTTATTATTTTAAAAATAAGGACTATTTTGTTATTATCATTTTTAATTTGCTATAGGCCATGTGAGCTCACCAGAGAAAGAGAGAGAGAGAGAGGGAGAGAGAGGGAGGGAGGGAGGAAGGGAGGGAGGGAAAGTGAGAAAGCAAGCCACCAGGTCTGGGGTTCAAACCGTGGTCAGCTACCTGGGAATCCAGTGCTTTAACCATCATGCCACCTGCTGGCCCCCACCATTTGTATTAAAATGTGCTTTTAGAATTTGTAATTCAGAATAAAAATGCTCTTTAGGCCTCAATTTTCTTTTTTTAAAAGCTTTTTAAAAACTTTCATGCCTCAGTTTTCTTGCCTGGAATGTGGGGAGAGAGCAGCACTGCCTTCAGGGACAGCTGAGGATCTGGACTTGTCTTACGAGGAGCCCGTGGGGAGACGCCCGTGCTCAGCACACGTGACACTACTGATGGGGATGACAGAGGGCTCTGGGGCCAGTTCTGGGAAGAGGCCCTCGCGGGCGGGGCAGGCCTGGGGTCCTTCTTTCCTGGACAGCTGTCACTGGGCTTGTTTTCTTTTGAACCTCACGGTTTAAGAGAATGCATATGGCTTTAAAAACAATGCTTTAAATAGAGCAAGACAGGAATTAATCAGGAAGTAGTTTTTAAAAAAAATTAATGAAGGGACCAGCAGTTAGCATAATGGCTATGTCGCTGGACTCCCATGTAGTCGACCGTGGTTCGAGTCCTGGACCTGGTAGCTTAAACTCATGCCAGGTGCGTGTGCGTGCGTGCCCAAGATCCTGAGGGGAGAATGGAGGAGAAGGGATTGCGGCGTGGCCATCCCCCTGGGGGTTGTTTTTCACTTTCTATCTCTCTGTCTCTCTCTGCCTTTCTGGCAAGTGCACGTGCCCTATAGCAAAAATCTCTCAAAAATTTTCTTTAATGAAGTCCAATTTATTATTTGGTTGCTTATGCTTTTTGGTGTCATAGCTGAGAAACCTGCCCGATCTAAGGTCATGAGTATTTCCATCTGGGCTTCTTTCTAAGAGTGTTTTGGTTTTTAACCGTTACCTGTAGGTGTTTTGTCCTTTCTGAGTTAATTTCTGGACACGATGTACAGGTCCAGCTTCACTCACTTCGTGTTTGGACCCAGCTGTCCTCGCACTAGCAATGGAAAAGACTACTTCCTTGGTTCAGGTTGGAGCTCAGGATAGGCTGGCATCTGGGCCATGGCAGTGCACTTCAGCCACTCTAAGATGGTCACGACCCCACTGAAGGGCTGTTTCCATGGCTTCTGCTGCGTCCAGGGCACCCACTATCAGGTCAAAGACCCAAGCAAAGTGCAGCGAGGAAAAAAGAGAGAAAGAGAGAAAAGAACAAAGGAGAGGACAAGAAAAATGACCAAAAAATTAAAAATAAAATTACCAGAGAGGGAGACAGAGGGAGACAGAACCTCTCTCGATGGGGCAGTCACCCTGCAATCCTTTTTCTTCCATTTCTTCTTCCCGCCAGGATTTTATTTTTTAAATTAAAAAAATTGTATTATTATTATGTATGCATTCGATCAGTATCCATCATTTAGATGGTAAAGAGGATGCACCGAGCATGGCCCACACCTCCGACCGGCCCGGCTGAGAACACTGCACCATCACCCGCAGGGCCTACGCCATTCCGTGTCCCACGGAAGCCTCACCTCTCTATTTTCCCATCAGGATTCTAGGCACGCTTGCACGTGGTGTGCTTTTCAAGCCCATGAGCCCCGACTCCACGGCTCACCAGCTGTGCTACCAGGTGCCGTGACCGCCAATGTCGTTTTCAGCCCGGAGCCATGGCCTCGCCCTGGCTCCCGCAGGCCCAGAGGACACGCACCCTCACAGGAGCCGGCTGTCAGCTCTGAGCGGAAGCGGCGGGCCTGAGGCCTGCGGAGCGGCCTGCTGGGGTTCATGGGCCATGCTGCTCGTACCCCATCTTCCAGTCAAAACACAGAGACACACGGCAGCCTGTGTCTAACGGAACGCCATGAAGACAGATGTGTGCTGGCCCCCAGGGCCACGGGAGGGTGAACGGATGCCACACAGGGTGCGTGCGGTCTAGTTCCACGCTTTCCATTTCTGGGGCTAGAGGGCCGCGTGGCAGCGACGTGGGACCCTCTGTGAGGGTGCAGCTGGGAAGACCCTGCTCACTCCAGAACCGGAGTGTGCCCGGCATGGTCAGGGCCCAGTGGGGTGTTGTCTCTGTTTCTCTCACTCATGGAATAAGTAAATGAATGCATTAAAAAAAAAAAAGATTTTACAAATTTAAAAATAAGTGATAAAAAAAAACCCAAACCCTTTTCTTTTCATGCCATACAGTGGCATAGTGGTTAAGGTGGCTGGATCCCACCTGACTGATTTACACAGTTCAAGTCCTGTGCCTGATGGCTTGAGAAACACGCCAGGTTCATGTGCATGCATGCCCAAAATCCCAAGAGGAGGGGGGAATGGGAAAGGGGCTGTGGCATGACCCCCCCAACCCCATGGGTGGTATCTCACATTTCTCTCTGACTCTGTCTCTCTTTGGTGAGCTCATGTACCTTCTAGCAAAGTCATTTTAAAAACCCTTTCCTTTTCAATAAACAGAGGTCAGGAAGTTGAGACTTAGCCGGGCTGTCGGGATTACAGAGGGCTCCTTCCAGGTGGGACAGCCCTTATTTCTAGTGGTGTCACCCTTCGTTCCTCCCTGGAGACCTGACCCTTAGACCGGGCAGCAGTGTTTTTGGAGCACAGGACAGAGGAACAGAGGGCAGTGGTGGCTGGACAGGCTGGACAGTGCAGCAGGCAGCACGAGCGGACTCAGACCATGCAGAGGCCGGACGGAGGTCACCTTTTCTCCCTTCTCTCCCAGATCACCCTTCTCGCCCCGTGGACCAGGGAAGCCCTAGAGGATAAAAAGCAAAGAGATCTGTTGGCGGAACTGCAAAGTCACATGGAAAAACCACCTGGGATTCGTGTGTGAGCTTATCCAGGGTGAGGAGGCATGGAAGCCTGCCAGTGCAGACACAGGGAAGTAGCCCTGGGAAACGGAGTCCCGTCTGAGAAATACACAGCGGGCGGGCCCAGGGTGCTAGTTTGGATCCCGTGAGCTGGCGGGTTTTGTGGGTCTGGGCACACTTACCTCGCCATGCTCTGGGTTTAAGGAGTGTGTGCAGCTGGGTGGGGTTACGTGGAGGGTGTCCACTGACCCGAACAGGGCGGGGCTCAGCAAATGCAACCAGTGGGGCCTTGGCCATCGCCACTGCTGCAGACAGAAGGGCAGTGCTCACTTCTAGAGGCACTTTTGGACGTTATTTTTGTAGAATTACGTTAGCGTAGGACACACAGAGACCTAACGCCGAGGGGCGAACCGTTGGGTCACAGCCTTGCGAGGAGAGCTACATGCGCACTCCCCAGGGTGGCTGTCGGAGGCATGTCGATTTTCCGTATTTTCCAGAAGTGGGCCAGGGCAATGTTAAGCGATGCCTAATTTAGGAAAGGACTCGGAGGCACCACTGCCCACGAAGGTTATCTGTCATGCCAGCACTCACGCCTCGGGCTTTACGTTTATCTCATGCAAACGCTGCACGCTTTCACTGCTGTAACATGCATGGCAACGCGTGCTCTGTGCCCTGCAAAGAAAAGACGCGTTCTGGCTGTCAGGCATGACGGAGACCGTCCGAGACCGTCGGCTGTCAGACAGGGACGTTTACGTGCGTCTTACTTACGTCGAGGCCAGGCTCTCCGTCTTTGCCCTGCCAAAGAACCACAGTAGCTCGATTAGTGCTCCTTGGCCCCACGATGTCCTGTCTTACCTAGGGCTGCTTGGACATGCAGCCCCAGCGTCAGGAGAACCACTAGAAAGGCAGAGAGACTACCGACCAGTGGCACGGACTGCTGTGACCGTGAAGTGGCTGTTAGGGAGCATTAAGGGTCAGGGAGAGTTTTCACTACATGCTGGGCTAAACACTGGGGTGTCTGAAAAGTCCTGGCACATTTTTGCTTAGAAAAACGTAGACAAAATAGGTCATGACTATTCCGACGACCCTAGAGGCTGGTATTGAAGGTTGACACTTGCCAGACCCAGTCTAAGGCAAAAATACTGGTTAGCTGATTCGGAACCGTACCGGCATCAGCCGAGGTGTCATTGCAACTAAACTTGGCAACTGAGTACTCAGCTCTGAGGAGACTAAAGGATGTGGACACTATTTACTGGTAAACAGTCTTCGTTTGGCCAGACACACACTTTATGTATAGACATGAAGGCTGTGAGGGCTCCAACCTAAACCTGCTTTATTAATGAGTACGTTTTGTAAATGAATGAGCCGCGAAGCACAGGAGTCCAGGGTGAGAAAGCCACCCGTGGGCTGGCCGTCAAGGTCACCGCCCCGGCAGGCCAGCCTGCGGACCCACCCAAAGTTCCTGAAAGGCTCTTGGGCTCTGTCAATTAGATTTTGAAATCTATTTCAAAAGCAGCATCTTGTTAAGCACTGGCATAACCATGGCTTAAGTGTGTCATTTCAGCTCATGAGAGGAATGCAGAGGTGTGGTGGTGAGGGGCCCTGCCTCCATGTGAAACCCATGCCTCTGCATGGTCCCACCCAAGCTCACAGAGTCAGAGGAACTGACCACAGAGACAATGTCCCTGAGGCCAGCCTGAGGCCTCAGCCTGAGCCCGTGCAGCTGAGGACTGCCAGAAGGTGGGGTCCTCGGCCCGTGACCTGATCACTATCCTCACAGGGGCAGGACAGGCTGAGAAATGGGATGATCATAAACACAAGTTCATTCCACAAGCGAGTTCTACTAGCAAGAGGGGTTTAGTGGCCACCGTGAGGACAAAGCCCGGACTGTTCTACGTGACGTGTCCACGCCCATTCCCGGAACGGCGACCTTCCAAGGAAGTGGCAGTTCTGACTGTCCCGTCAGATGGGCGGGGAGGGCACGCTCTGGCAGCCAAAACCCTTGCAGGTCAGCCCTGCCAGTCCCGCAGCAGCCTCGACCCTCAGGGCATGCGTGGGTGTGTGTCTGATGGCCAGGAGGGTGAGGGGCTGGCCGTGCGTCCGTGCAGGACGGGGTTTGGGCACCGTTGGGGCTCTTTGCTCCTCACACACAGTTAGTGTGCCTGACAGGGGCGGGCTAGCTGGGTTAGTGACGCGCCACCACGCTTGCGGAAGGTGGCGGCTGCACACGGGACCGGAAACTTACGGGCAGACCGTAGGGCCCCCTGGGTCCAGGCTCTCCCATGGCTCCTTTTTCACCCTAAAATGGAAAACAGGGGGTTCAAATCGCACACGCACCCCATGTGCACATGCTTTCTCTACATGTAAAGCCTCTGTTGGGGGTACCACCCGTCAAATCCCAGAGACTCGGCCAGGGCTCTGCCGAGGGACGGGGATGACCCATGAAGCTTGTTCTGTTCAGCCACATTTGTAGGAGGGCGGTAGGGGCCAGATGGCGGCGTGTCAGGAGAACAGGACCCACGTGGGAAGGCTCTGGGGTCAGATCTGGAGATCCCTCTGCATGTGCCGGGCAAGCGTGTGCCCACAGGTCAGGATGGCTGAAGCTGAACCCTAATACTGCAGTATTAAGGCCCTGTGTGGGTGCTCCCTCTCTGTCTCTCTTGCTCATGGAAGAAATAAACAAATTAAAACTGGAAGAGAGAGAGAGAGAGAGAAACAGAAGGCCAGTAAGCGACTGCTGACAACAGAAGGGTTTGCACACTGAGGGTGCCGGACTGGGCTTCTCCGGCCTGAGTTTCAATTCCTAACGATTTGAAGTTACTTACATGAAAAAGAAACATAGAATACATGCTTTTTGTTCCCTGGCGAATCTCTTTTCAGGGAAGTCCTTCTGTCACTGCCACCTCCTCTCTCCAGCTGCCTCTCACCTGGATCTCCCCCACCCTGCCCTCGCCCATGTGTGCCTTCGTCCAGACCCTCTGGCTCTGCAGTCGCAGCACTCCCGGGGCCTGGCATGGTGTCACTGAGTATTCTCTGAACAGACGAATCCAGTCGAATCAACCCAGTCATGCCCATGTTTTCCTTCCTCTCCAATCAGAAGGTTTCGAGGACTGCACGCTCTCCCCAGTGCCTGAGTGTGCCTCGCCCTGCCCCTCCCCAGCACCTATTCGCACACGAGTGCTCCCCGGCTGGGGTGATGCTCTCAAATGCTGACGAAGAACAAGTGTTCTAGAAGCGGTTCCTTGGAGAGAAATCGCCGCGATCATCCAGAAAGAGAGCTTCTGTGTTTCAAGTAGTGTCTTCTCCTGCCGCTGTCTCCAGATCAAGGTGTATTTAGTATAAAAACTTCGGGCATAACCCCATGTTTCTGTGAGCTTCCAAACAACGTGCCCCACCCCCACCCCCCTCACAGCAGTGCTGCAGGTTAGAGCTCCCGATGTCACGGGAATGACAGGCCGGCCGTTCCTGGTCTGAGCGCTGACTGACGGCTGTGTCTACTCCAGGTTCCCTGGCGCACGCGCTTCGGCTCACTGCTGGCGTTCCTTCCTCTGTCCAAGGGTGGGAGGTCCTCGCCTTGGCGCAGCCAGCCGGTCCTCCGCTGCAGTGCTGGAAGCCACATGGCTGCCTCTGGCTTTGATCCCCTAGTCAACCTGAGCCCCTCAGATGTGCACCCACGATCCTGCCTAGCTGGAGGGCTCAGGAAGGGGTCGCAGTGCAAGGAGGCCCTGCTGCGGGTGCCCCTCACCCTTCGTAAATCAACAAGCTTTCAAATAAATGAGTACGTAGCCTCGAGAGAGCGGTGGAGCTGGTTGGCAGACTCCACGGGCACAGCTCTGGAGGGACCCCGACTATAGGCAGGAGGAAGACTTGCCGCGTGTCCCGCCTCTCGACTCCACAGTGACTACTCGCAGGGCAGAAGCTGCTCTCAGGGAAGGGGCCAGGCTTCAAACGAGACATTCAATTCGATCCCAGTTCTGCTGTGTTTGGTACTTGGCTCTGGGTCGTTTCTTGTCTTTCCTATTTATGTTTATTTCTTCTGAGACACAGAGAGAGACAGGGATAGGCATCCCAGCAGGGTCTCTGGCTGCAGCCCGCCCCAGCCTCAGCCAGCCAGGACCGCTGGCATGAGTGTCACCCTGGGGTCAGAGAAGCCTCAGGTCGTCAACCCGGAGGCCATTCCATGTGGCCTCAGCATCACAGAGTGGTGTGGCAGCCGTGCCACCCCCAGCTGGTCAGCCTTGCAACTTTTCACCTTGAATTTCTTTTTCTTTTTTGGAGAGATTTTTTGCTATCAGGCATGTGTACTCACCAGAAAAACAGAGAGAGACAAAGTGAGAAATCCCCCTCCAGGGAGGATGGCCACGCCACAATCCTGTCTCCTCCAGTCTCCTCTCAGGATCTTGGGCACGCACACACACGTACCTGGTGTGAGTTTAAGCCACTGGGTCTGGGACTCGACCGTGGTTGACTACATGTGAGTCCAGGGACACAGCCATTACACCAATTGTTGGTCCTTCACCCTGAATTTCTAAGCCTGGGTCGCATGGCTGTAAAGTAAGAGAGGTGATATATGTTCTGCAAGAACTGTTCTGAAGAGCAGGTGTGATTTTAACAGATGAAGTTACGTGCTGGCAAATTATATAGCCATAAAGAGTAGGTATTGTTGGTACCACACGTTAGAGTCTTGTTTTTAATGAACAGGGCTTGGCAACCCAAGAGCACTAATTCAACATCAGTTTCTTTTAGCTTGACTTGGCAGTATTACTCAAGATCTTTAAAATGGCAGTGTGTGTGTGTGCGTGCACTGTGTGTGTGCGTGCACTGTGTGTGCATGTGTGCACGCTGTGTACTGTGTGTGCGTGCGTGTGCATGTATGCACTGCGTGTGTGTAGCAGTCAGTGGGGGTTTAACAAGAGGCTTCACATAAGGTGGAGTAGGCCTCATCTGAAATAACTCCATCGATTTTTACAGTAATTTGCTACTGGGCACGTGTGCCTACTGGGTGGGGGAGGG